AGGAAAAAGCAGCAGTAGCCATCTCAAAGGGAGGCACCTGGGGATCACCGACCTCCCCACAAACATCTCCAGGAAGGAGATGGCAGCTCAGCCCATTGCTCACAGGAGATCTACAATAAGAGGTGTCATGAAGTGAAAATGGGAAAATAAATAAATTGATAAACACCAGAACAAGGCAGGGCTGTAAAAAGACTCCCTTAGGAGTCTTTCTTTGCTCTTACAGAGGGAACCCAGACATTAGCTTTGCTGGCTGAAGCTGGTGAGACCCCAGCTCCGAGGTTAGCCCTGGACCACACCTCGACCCCCCTGGAGAAGAGCATTCAGCTCCACACTGCCTTAGTGAGATGCAGCAAGCTCTCTTTGCCCCTATTTGTGCCCAGTGGCTCTGCTGCCTCCGTGTCCCTGCCACAGCAGGGCTGTCCCAGGCACCCAAACAGCTTTGCAGGCTCTGTCTCCGCAGCAGTGACACTTCAGAATTGCTCCTGTCCCCAGCAAGTGCCACCAGGGACAAGGGAATACGACAGCACAGCAGGTGGCCACTTACAGAGGACTTTTTGGTGGCGTCTCACTTCTTAAATCATTTTCTAATCACACACAACTGCTGTGAATGAGGATCTGCTGGGGGAGTTCTTGTTCTCCTTGTCAACTTTGTTTATGATTCCTATATGTTGGGAGGGTGCTTCAAGGCTGAATGGGCATGGCAGCCGAAGGAAATCCACATCAGAGAGCTGCATAAAGAGAATAATTCCATATTTTGATGTTTTGATGGAGATTTTGCACCAGGTAGAGGAGGGTGTAATGTCTGAAAGACTGTTTATTGAAAGGATCTGCATTAAATAAATAGCAGCAGGGAGAAGTAGGGTTCTGTCCCACCCAGAGCTGGGGACAAAGAACAACCTCAATGCAATGATGTCCCATGAACTTGGTGAGTGGGGGGGCTCCCCAGCAAGGAGGGCCTCACAAGGAAGATGCATTTACTGCTGGTAGAGCAATGGGCCAAGAAGGGATGGGACTCAGAGGAACCACTGGATAGTTGCTAAAAGGTCGTCCTCAGCTTCCTCCTGATGTCTTGGCCTCCCACTGGAGGGGAAATTAGGCTGGTGGGAGGACCTAGGAGTCCGTATGGGTGACTGAGGGCCTTTGGAGAAGAAAAAGAGGGTTGCCTATGGCTAGAAGAGAAGGACAGTGATCTGGAGAGAGCTTCTAGCTCCTCCTGTGTGACTGGGGGGCCTACATGTGGTGGAGTTTCCAGAAGAGGATCAAACAGGGGTTGTACCCAGCTCCTATTAGCAGAGCAGAGCAGGACAGCAGTGGAGCCTCCCGTATGTGCCACTGCCCTGCTCCTTGCACACACCCCTGCAAGTCCTGATCCTGGAGCACAGCCAGGTCTCCACGTGGAACCTGCTCTCTTCTGGCCATGCAATCTCGTGGGGACGCCCTGCTGTGCTGATCTGCAAAGCTCGGTGACTTGCAAAGCCCGCAGCGCGGTGACTCGGGGCTTTACGGGTTCCTTCTCGTACTCGGAGGTGGACATTGATCAACTGAAATCGCAAGGGCCGCTGATAAAGGGATTACAGAGGACGACCTATTGAGGGATTAAAGGAAGCTATGTTCTCAGATGAAACATAAGCCATAGGAGATCGGATAAATGGCTATAAATACCTGAGCAGGAAAGGGCCAAGGAGAATGTGGTTGAAGATATATCATAGAGCACATGAGTGCAAGTACCTGAGTATGTCAGGAAATAAGGAGAATTGGTGAGAAACTTATAAAAACTGAGAAAATTGAGGTTTAAAAGCCCTGGGGCTTCTAATAAGTGTAAATTAAACAGCAGCAAAGTTCCCCAGGAGGTGCTACCATGGGACTTGCAGGGATTACTTGTGAGTGGTACTGGAGGGGCTGGAGATTCATCTGAGGGCCAGTGAAGTTTTCCCACCATTATCATTGCTCTTGAACAGCAAATCATCACCCAAGTCTAGGAAGGGAAAGTTGCTGGAAGTTACATGGAAATCCATGGAGTAAATCTGCGTCTTCTCATCGCCAAATAAAAGATTACCCTTCTCATCCCCTATCGTCACTTCCCACTGAGCTGATGGAAGTGGCTTTTTCATTTGTTGCCCCCATCTTCCATTCTCCTGTCAGAAATAATACAGCAACAGGAAGAGAGAGCAAGAGGAGAGGGGCAGAGCAGGACAAGGGGACTGATAAAAAACAGGATGAGACCTTTGGAGGTGTCTCCCTGCAGAGAGAGGAGAGTCTTGGGCCTGGACGTAGCCTGAAGTGTTAACATGGACCAAAATAGGCCTTTCACAGGCCTTGTTGTAGCCTGAGGTACTCATGTGGGCCAAAATAGGCTTTTCATAGATCTAGATGTAGCCTGAGCTGCTAATGCGATCCAAAATAGGCCTTTCATAGGCCTGGGTGTAGCCTGAGGTGCTAACATGGGCCAAAATAGTCCCTTCATAGGCCTGGATATTGCTTGGGGTGCTAATGTGGGCCAAAATAGCCTTTTTATAGGCCTGGATGTAGCCTGAGGTGCTAACATGGGCCAAAATAGTCTCTTCATAGGCCTGGATGTTGCTTGGGGTGCTAACATGGGCCAAAATAGCCCCTTCATAGGCCTGGATGTAGCCTGAGCACAGCAAAGAGTTGCATCTCTCTTGCCTCCTCCTGGCTGTCTGGGAATCTCCGAGCCCTTTCTTATTTAAGCCGAAGATTTTGAAGGCCTTCATAAGTATTTTTCTCTCTTGATTTAAGGAAACAGAGATACCGAAAGCAAATGGCATGCCCAAGGCAGAGCAAGACATAAATATTTATTACCCAGCTGAGCCTTGCTTCACTCTTTGGTCAGCTTTTCCAAGGAGCCACCTTGTACATCAATAAATCCAAAATGTTTTTTTTTTTGTTTTTTTTTTTTTTTTTTTTTGTTGTTATTTTTGTTTTGTTTTGTTTTGTTTTTGTTTTTGTTTTTGTTTTTGTTTTTTCCTTGTAATAATAAGCCACAAGCAAAGAGCTGCTTAGGGAATCAGGGACACAACAGCTTTGGGGTTTAGCCCGAAACATCTGGGAGCAGAAAACCCTTCCCAGCTGTCTGGGTGTCCCTTGGGGCTCGAGTGGGACCCTTCCCTCTAGCAGGACTGTGAGGATTGTCCCCTCCTTGGTCCCCCCAGTCACGATGGGGCACGCACAGTGCAGGAGGACCAAAAGCCCTGGACCTGCAGCTCTCTGCAGGGCGTTTTGGGAATCGCTGGTGGTTTCTCACCAGGAAACATCCCGTCTCCAAGCAACAGAGCCAAACGGGTTAAAAGCCTCCTTTGCTTTCCAAAGCCGACAGGCCCTGGAGACAAAGGATGGGGAAGGGGAGGGATGCAAACGGCACCTGGGCCAGATTTAGCTCAATGAAAGCAACCGGTGTTTTTTGGAGAGGAGCCCTTGGGGTTTTACCAGAGCCGTGTGGTTTGTAGCAACTCGGGAAAATGGAGTCTAAAAGCTGTAAATTCCGTATAGCTTGGTGTTTTCCTATGGCCTGACAAAGGGGAGGATTATTTGTCAGCTAGCACCTCTGATTTGCTTTTGCTGAGGGTTGTTTTTACTTTTGTTCCGTAATTCCTGGGCACGGTGAGCGTGGGGATTTGAAGTGCCCCTTAGACAAGCAGGCAACGCCTTTGTATGTACGCCGGTGCTTTCGGTGCTTTCGTAGTGGATTGGCTTATTGTTTAATTCAGTCTGTTAGCTGTATTACTCTGTATCCTGGTTACAACGAGACCCTTCACTTGGTTTTCTTGGTCCTCCCATGAGATGATTTCTTTGTTTACCTGAGCAGCTTGTCAGTTCTATAAGGACTCTTTTTTTTTTCCCCCAAATTTCTGATTTTTTTTCATGCAGAAAATTGTAGGGCGGAGTTTGATGCACGTGTCTTTTCAAAGGTGCAGCGTGTGTACCTGCTTGGAGGCAGAAATGCAAAAAGGAGGCTGTGTTTCCTTTCTCATACAGCCATGTAAGGCTATGCAAGGATACACATGGACACCCGTCTGCCTCATCCATCCACCTACCCTCTCGTCCATCCACCCCTTCACCCACCAAATCACCCACTCATTCATCCAACCACCCCTTTATCATCCCACCCTCCACTCCATCCATCTCTCCATCCCTCCATCCATCCCTTCACCCCTCCATCCATCCATCCATCCCTTCACCCCTCCCTCCCTCCCTCCCTCCCTCCCTCCATCCATCCATCCATCCATCCATCCATCCATCCATCCATCCATCCATCCATCCCCATCCCTCCATCCATCCTCTGGCAGAGGCGTGAGCCTGTTCATGCACCCCAGCGAAACACCCGTGCACTCTTTGCACGCCTCCATGGCTCACACTGAAACCCACCCAGCCCTTTGCACGCCCAGCAGGCACAGCCTTGAGCTTTATCTACACACTACATATTTTGAATCATAAAGCCACTCCTCAGAAAAGCATTTTTCCTCCCTCCTCAGTCAATACTGCTTCCGCAGCCTCCTTCCTTACATCTCTCTCTTGCTCTCTCCTGCAGTTGCTTCAGCAAGAAGGGTGGTTGGATTTTCCTTTTCCAAAGCTGTAGTGCTGGAGGAGACTTGCACGTGGTCCCTTCAGCTCCGTATCATCAGCAAATACAAGTGTCCTGCCCTTGCTTGTCCCTTCTTCTTGTCCCCACCTGCCATGCACGGGGGGCTTGTAGGCAAGGGGGCAATAAAGCACGTGTGGTCATGCCTGGCTCACATGCACAAGTGCCCGATGATCCCTGGAAGCACCTAAATATGGTGAAATTTGAAGGTGACAGGCACATGAAGGCAGAATTTGGTCCTGACAGGAGTTTAACTCCTGGATTTGGGTGGGGAAAGCTTGAAACCCTCACCGTCTAACCACATGGTGACTTTCACATTGGCACAAAGCTGGCGACACTTCCCAGCACCGTCCCTCTCCTCCCCGTGCCACTGCATGTTGCACAACCCCCTATACTGTAAGACTGGGTAAATATTGACGGGTGACTTTGCACTTTGCATTCGCCACTTGCTGAGCTTCCTTCTCCTTTCGAGGTGCACACGCAGAGCCAAGATGAAGATCGAGTTCGCTCCGCTCTCTCTGCCGCTGCAGAGAAGGCTTCAGACCGCGTCGGTGGTCCAGTGGGTCTTCAGCTTCCTGGGTCTAGGTAAGAGGCAGCTCTTTTTTCCTCTCTGAGGAACCAGAGCAGGTTTTTCCCCAACCCAAGTAGACTGAGGGTCTGGGATTGAAGGAGAGAGGCATTAGAGGGGCATTTAGGGAGCCTGCAGTGATTCACAAGCCATGTTAGGGCAAGTGGCTAGCAGGAGATGCTGCACACATGCTTCTGTCTTGCAGCATGGGTGGCTCCATCTCACCAAAGCATCTCCTTTCTCCTCATCATTTTTGTCTCTTCCCACCACCGATCACAGCAGGGTGGCCCTAGGCTGTGTGTCTGTGCTTGGGTATATCTGCAGGTTTTATGTAGCCTTGTGGGGGTTTCAGCTTCTCCTGCTGCTTGGGTTTAAGGTTTTCCTGGTCTAAAGTGCTTCCCCACTCAGCATTAGTCATGAGAAATGACATTAGTCATGAGAAATGACATTTCTCTGCCCGAGGGGTGGTGCAATGGAAAGAACACGGGGACTCCACTTTGCAACCCCACTTTGTGCAGACCCTGCTGCCTGCCCCATAAGAGCAGTTTTGGGGGAAAACCCAGGCAGATTGGAGAGGAAACACAGCAGCAGCCTGGGCCCCTGACAAACTCTCTGCTGTGTGGAGGGCATCAGTTGCTGTTGGAAATGAGAGATGTGCAGTTATGGATAGGATGGACCAGGCAATCCGAGAATCAGTAAGGTTGGAAAAGACCTCCAAAACCTCCTGGTCCAACCATCCACCTACCACCACCATTACCTACTAAACCATGTGCCTAAGGAAATGTGAAATGGGAGAGACAAAGCCAGCCAGGGAGGTAGTGGAGATGTGGCCGTGATGTTAAAGGATGCAGAAACATGTCCCTGTGTTCCAGAGTGGATGCAGCCAGGGCTTAAGGAGTATTAATGATTATTTTCCAGCAAAACAACTTGCACGATAGGTTTGCCCCTCCTTGGTACCAGGAGCAGGCTGGCACTTGGCTTTTCAGCGATGGAGATGACTGCTGGAGCCAGATGAAAGCCAGAAAATGGGCAGAAAGGAGAAACCCTCTGTGGTCAGAGGGTAATATGGAGCTGTTTGAAATGCAGGTTTTGCCTCCTGCAGGAAAACATGGCTTGCTCCAGGTGAAGATGTGGTGCTTAGGGACATAGTTTAGTGGGTGACATTGGTAGGGGGATGGTTGGACCTGATGATCTTGGAGATCTTTTAACCCCCAGGCACAGAGACCAGCTCCTCCTTGAGCAGGGCAGGACCACCATCTGCTCCTCTCTCACTGAGACAGAGCCATGCTTCCTTCTGCAGCCAGAAAAGGGCTCTCGAAAACACACAGCCGCCTGCTGCCAGACATTTCTGCAGCCCTTTGGCTGGAGATCGCCCTTCAGCTGCACCACCATGGGCTGCAGTTGCCATGGCTGTGCAAATGCATCCCCACGAGGGGCTCGTTTCTCCTTCTCCGCGTCTATTTTGGATGCTGATGGTTGCTGGAAGGGGATTTCGTGGTGCAAGGATGGGTAACGCTAACCCATCACGCTATCCAGCTAACGCCAACACGCTAACCAGCCCCTGGCAGGGGCAGGAGCCCTGTGCCCGCTGTCTTTCCAGAGCCAGCACAGCACAGCCAGCCTTTGAACCCTTCCAGTCGGTGAGGCTGGCTCAAAGGGCATGCAGTGCCAGCGTGAGTCAGCCCCTTGGTGGCTGAGAGTAGCCCACAGCCTCGGCTTGTCTGTGCTGAGAGCTCTGGACTGGCACTGAGGACCACAACGAGCATCCTGCAAATCCTCCTGGCAGCTGCAGCATGAGTCTGACCTGCTCTGGGGCTGCTGCAATGCCCCAAATCTCTTTCTAAAAGCTCCTCTTTCCCATATTTGAGGCTGAATGAGCAAATTCTGGGTCCAGCAGCTCTTTGATAGGACATGGTCCCTGTGTTGACTTAGCCAAAAAAGTCTTCCATGTGCTTACAGCTCAGGGCTCACATGGACCCCATGGCACATATGTGTGTTGTATGTGGCATACCCATGGTTTTGGTGCATCAGGGTTCACCTCTCTGCCAAGCCAGCAGCAGTTCATGCCCAGACCTTTTCCACCCAGTTCTTTTCCACCTCTGTAGCATCTCATCTCCCTTTGGAGATGCATCCTGAAACCTCTGCACCCTTCTGCTCATCAGATAAACCCTGCAGAGCATCCTCCTCTGGTTTTTGGTTCCCTTTGGAGAGGGACTTGCAGCTTGCATTAAATCTACTTAACCTAGGATGCCCACCACCAAAAACTTCATTTTTCCTTCAGGAGGCCCCTTTATTTGAGGGAAACCTTCTCAGTAAAGTGCCCGGCCTGCGAGGGGAGCCAAGAAAGCCATCAGGTCCATGTGGATGTGCCTTCTCTTTGCTGCCTCCCCTCTGGCCATGGAGATGCGAGGTGCCAGGTCCTGGAAAACAAAATATCCACACACCTCGCCATGGGCAAGGGCAGAGAAACCTCCTGGCACCTGGCCTGAATGGAAAATGTGAGGTTTAGGGTCTGTATGGTGCTCTCCTTGCCAAGGGCCCTTTGGTTTTAGGTTGAAGGTGTGTCTCCTTGCTTTCCATGGCAGTGCAGATAGGGCTGGAGACAGTCTCAGCCCAGCCTGGGATTATCTGGCCATTTCCAGATAACCAAACCAATGTGATTGCAAGGACACGGTGCCCTCAGCCCCGTGACGATACCTTCCTCGAAAGTCTCATAAAGACATAAGCCATGCGGCCTGAAAGGTTGGAGCTTGGGGCTGGCAAACAAGGGGGCTATGGGGCAGAGAGGTGGGTATTGTAGGGATGCTATGGCCGAATACTAGAAATAATATTCCCCTCCCTTCCCCTTAAAAAAAATATTGTAAAGGCAATGTTATAACCACATCCCACTGCTATATGTGTGCCTGATGCACCTGCAGTCCCCATCCTTGCTGGATTTGCAGCACCTGATGGGGCTCAAAGACTGGTTTCCAGTGAACTGGGGACTTGCAGGTTTCTCCCCATCCCCATCACCATGCAGGCTGCCATCGCTTCCAGAAGCTTTCCTGAGACCTGACAGCCCTTTTTGGATGGCTGCGTGGGCACGGCGGGTGCTATGTCGGCTGCAGTTTGGCCCCAGAAGGGAGATATCTGCTGAGGTTCCCTGGCCCAGGGCCTAATGCCGTGTTCGTTATATCCTTTAAAGTGTACGCCTGGCAGGGAGCCCAGAAAATGACAGTTGTTTGTGGGAAAGCAGATGCCAAGGAAAATACGGCTGTCATCTGAGCAGCTCTGAAGTGGCTGCTGGTCGAGGGAAGGGCAGGTGAGAAACCCGTGGATTTCCTCATCTTCCTTGAATCAGGAAAGCCTGGGGATTTGCAGGAACAGAAATAAATCTCAGTCCTGCAGCACAGCCCTTCCCTCTAGCCCTTAACTCAAATGGTTGCAGGATTTGGCCCTTTCTCCCATGGGATGTTATTTTTTCAGTGCCTTGTGGATCGGGGATGCTCTGCTCGTGTTGAAGAGTTCGAGGACAGGACACACGGGTGTCTGTTAGCAAGTCGGGTCCGTGCTGGCACAGGAAGGGGTGCTTCTCTTGCAGCAAGCAGAACGCCATCAGATTTTACAAGCACTTAATATTGAGTGAAGGTCACCGCGTGCAAATCCCGCCCTGCCAAAAAACGTTGCATCACAGATGAACCGAGGGAGAAATTAATTACTATATGCTGCAAGATAAAGCTGAACTTGGACGATAAGTGCCTGGAGCTGGACCGCAGCCACTCCTCCACCGTGCAGGGCATACCTTGAGCTTTGCACGGCGTGATAAAAGGAGAATCAGGCATTGCACAGCTTTGCAGCAGATGTGATGACCTGGCTGGTAGGTGCAGCACAGCCTGCGACCTCCCCGAGCAGCGCTTGTGCGTCGTCTGGACCTTGGAGCTTCCTTTTATGTTGGATGCTGTTTTCCTTGAGAGTTATCAAGATTGTGGTTGTGACTTTTCAAAGGAGTGGCACCAGCAGCAGCAGTTTGTCCCGACCTGGAGCTTTGAGGATCTGTGCAGAGCTCTGCAGTGCTTCCCCGTGCTCTGCACCCAGGTGCTTGCTTTTGCCTTCCCATTCAAACACTGCTCCCTGCAGTGCTTCTGCCTGCATGAGGACATGAAATCCCATTTCAGCTTTAAGAAGGTTTAGGATCCTGTTAGATTATTCCTTTTTTTTGTTATTATTATTTTTTTTTCCCGGTAGGAATTATCAGTACCATCATGCCAGCACTTTAAAAAAGTGGCGTTTATTTGTTCGAACACACAAAGCTCCGGGATCAGGGCGACTTACGACAAAAATAGACTGCAGACCAAATCTACTTATCCTTATCAAGATATTCTCTTCCACCGAGAACACGTGAAATGCTCCCAAAACCTGAAAGAGGTCAGGCATCAGGGACAGCATCATAGAAAAACACATTTTTTTAGAGAAAACTGCATTGAGGCTCATCCCTTGGTCCCTTCATAGTCAAAATAACAAGGAATTAAAAGGAGACCTCAATATATAGCATCATATACCTATTTTCTGGTAGAACAAAACACAGAACACACCACCCACGGTGTAATCCATGAGCTGGGGAAGGCAAATACATTATTTTAGCTCAGTCTTTTCCTTCTCAGACAGCACCCTAAGGGACAGGGCCACCAAGGCTTCCAAGGGGGCACGTGGAGAGGACACAGCTCTGCTATTTCCCAGGCACTTTGTAGGGTATCTTCTTTATCCAGTGGTCACCAGTGCTTCCCAGTTTCTGTTCAGACACACAGTGCTGGGCTCGGGTGGGATTTGATATGCCAAGCGATGCTTGTTGGCACACAGACTTTCCTTCTCTTGTTTTCCTGCCAAAACGTAGGGCGAGAGGGAGGCAGGAGGTAGAGGACAACGCTGAGCACTGACTGGAAGCAACGCAGGAAGGTCTTTAATGACTTGGGAAAGTCCCAAGTCATTAATGAGTTGGGGAATGAAGTAGAGCATGCTTATAAAATCTGTGATGACACCAAGCTGAAAGGACTGAAAATCCTCTGCAGGCCAAGATTAGGGCTTAAAGTGAGCCCAAGAAGTGGAGGAAAAGGTCCAGAATCAATAAGAAAAAAAAAAAAAATCAATAAGAAGTAAACTCTTATACATGGGAAGATAAAAATGAAATAATTGTGGACAGTAATTCAAAATCAGGAAACGGTGGCTCAGGACAAAGTGGTCAGGGTTGTGCAGACAGAACACGGTGCCCTGGTTTGCTGCCATCCCAAAATGCCAGGTGCCATCTGGGGATGTTAACAGGAGCATTGGGATAAAACACAGACATTAATACGGCAGAGGTTGGAGCAAAGGAAAGGTCTGCAAGACCTTCTGCAGACAGAGGTCCATCAGTCTGGAGGGAAGAGGGGGAAAGAGATGGAGAAATTTGGAGAAGTAGATGGCTCTGCGAGGACTGGGGTTAAGCTGCTCTGCAGTTCCTGGGGCAGATAGGAAAAATAAAACAACATCTCTTTGCATCAAAGGTGCCTTACAATGATAAAATAATCCAGAACTGAGCTCAGCTCAAGCTTGGGCTCCATGTGAGGGCCAAACAAACCGAGTCCCTTCAGGAGAACCATTCCTAACCGTTCCCACCTAACTCATCCCCCCGACTCACCGCTGTTTTTCTCTCTCTCCTCCCAGCACAGTGCTGCGTAGCTCTCTTCATCGGCCTCCTGTTCACACGTTTTTGGCTGCTCAGTGCCCTCTACGCCGCGTGGTGGCTCACGGACAGGGAAGCACCCAGCAGAGGAGGGAGACGGAGCCAGCTCTTACGGAACAGCATCGTCTGGAGATACATGAGGGACTACTTCCCTGTCACGGTAAGCGCTGCTGATCCCTTTGGCATTTAGGGATTTTGGGGACCAACCTCTCAGGATCAGCCTCAGGACCTCCTTTGTGCTTGGAGGTGGGCCTGAGGGTATCCGCTGTGGCACGGGGAGGAGGTGTTTGGAGGTCAGTGGTGAAGGCAGGAGGCCAAAATTGTCCTCCCAGTTCTCTGAATGACTTCATGACCCAATATCATCCCAATCACATCCTTTAATCACCTTTTACGCATCCATTTAACCTTGCTGTGTTCCAGCAGATGGGGACATCTCCCCTGGCCCATTTCCCATGATATATTGCAATTCATCTGCTCTTCTGTGCCCAGCACTTACCCAGTAGATGTAGAGACATATTTTGATCAAAGCCTTCAAGGTCAGCCTTCTCCACTGGAGAAGAGGCTGGATGGTCAAATCAGAGTTGTCCTGGCCAGTGTCATAGAGATGCCATTCCCCTGAAAGGGATTTTCGTATTTTCTGACTTATTTTAATGCATGTGGTAGACTTTTGCCCTCAGTCTTTATTTAGTTTCCCCCTGGCACGACACAAATGCACGGACCACGATGAAGTCCTGCCTCCGAGCCATCACAGGTCTGTGCGTAGCTGAGCAAGGCAGCAGCATGGGCTATGCAAGGGAGAGTGTATTCAGGGTAAATCAAGCTACGCTGTACTCTGGGAATTTAAAAGATAATTCCCTAGAGGAAACATTGCAGCTGAGTGCCAAAGTCAGCACTGTCCAATGTCCACATCCCCCTTGCAGCTTGTGACTTGCCATACAGGGAATTTTTCTCTGGAAGGCATCTTTTAGTGCACATCCTCTATAATGCTTGGACTGGACCGCTGCTGCCACTGCCCTTTCTTGAAAGACACATGATAAAGCAAGCCCTGAAAGCAAGGAGGTTAATTCAGGGCAGAAATCAGGGCTGAACAACAACAACAACAAAAAAGAATAGATGGGGTCTGTGTGGATCTCTCTTACCATTTCTAAATGGATCCAATGCTTACTTGCATTATAGCAACTCACTTGGGCATATCTGCCACCAAAATGATGGTGCCTAAAGTGTGTCTTTTGATGTCATGTCACCCCTTTTTGCAAGTCACAGCTCAGTAGCATACTGACCCCAGTGCTGCAGGCAAAATGTGGGCTTTGCCACCCTGTTGCACAGACGGCGTGTCCCAGCAAACATTGCTCCTTGTCATTAGAGTGGAAACACCACTCGGTTCTGGAGGAACCACCTCCAGAATACTCCAAAATCAAATGTTGGAAAACAGGAAAAGCAGAGCTTTTTGATTTCTCCTTTGTTCCACCACCCCTCATTTTAATTTTCATCCCATCCCGGTATGCCTCTTGGGGTGGTGCAGGTGAAGAAGCAAAAGGCTGTGACTATGTCCAGTTAGTAGCAGTGTGCAAACTGGGATTGCCTCTCACCAGATTGGGGTACAACTGGTAGATGTGCTGGGCTTAACTGGACCATCACCTCTGTCCTCACTGCTGGAGATGATTTAATTTTGTGCTGGAAGCTGGCAAATGCTAGCCAGACTTCTCCAGGCCCTTGTCCAGGGCCCTTATCGGGAGCTTTTGCAGTGATTTAAGGGTTTTTGGTTAAGCTGCAAGGCCAGCCCCCCAAAAGTACATCAGAGTCTCCTGGGGAGGAATGGGAACCCAAGCCAGGAGAGCTCCTGATGGGTTTTACCATAAGGGACACATAGTGCATTGCAGCATTTAATAGGAAACACCAAATGGGTTCCTGAGTAATTATTTCAAGGCTAGAAATGCTGCGAGCTATCCACGTGGCTATGTTTAATATATATTCTGTCATTTGTTTCTGGCCATAAGCCTCAGTTTGAGCAGTGTCAGACCAAATTCTCTGCTAACACATAGCTGCTACCTGAGCCCAGAGACACCTCTTCTGGCCGTGTACAGCCCCTCGTGGGGCTGTCCGTCTGTCCTTCCCTCCCTGGGTGGCACAGCCAGGAGGAAAGACCAGCAGAGGGAGCATGGCTACTGGTTTTGGCTGCAGTTTACTGGTCCTGGGTGCAGACAGGCAGGGTTTCATAGGATCACGGAATCATTAAGGTTGGAAAAGCCCTCCAAGACCACCTGCTCCAACCACCCCCCTACCACCAATGTCACCACCAAGCCCTGTCCCCAAGCACCACGTCCAACCTCTCCTTGAACACCCCCAGAGATGGTTGGAGGAGCCTTTGTCCTTGCTGGTGTAGAAGTCAGAGAGGCTCTGAAAAAGCATGGTGGAAAACTTGCCTTATTTCATACCCCACCTCCCAGCTTTTTTCCCCACCTGAAAACCCCAAATGAGCTTTTTTCCTTGTGTGACCGACATCTCATTTCATACCTCTGAGCATGGGCTGATTTGCTCCTAGCAGCATGGAAATTAAGCACTGTAAAGAAACTTTATTTTTTTATTTTATTTATTTATGTATTTTTTTTCCATCCCATACACCACTTTCACAAGGACCTGAGCTTGGTCTGAGCACACCCAGCATCACGCTCCCCCCTGCCCAAAAAAAAACCAAAACAAACAGCAAGAATGGGGATAAATTGGGAGCGGGATTTGGGGAACACCCAGCACCGTGGGCTGTGTATGTGCGTAGATTGAGTTCGTTCAGCCCCATGAGGATTAGGTATTCTGGGAAGATTAAACGTGGCTCCTAATCCTCCCCAATCCCTGGTCAAGTGTCAGGGTTTGGAGGTGGGGAGGCAGCAAGAGCTGCCTGCGCCGCTCTGCCCTCTGGTATTTCAAGGAGGGGATTTAAACGCTGCTTTTACGGGATCTCGGGGCATGTTGACGGCTGCGGAAGCGAAGAGAGGTTGGGACGAGCAGCTGTTTTCTGGGGATTAAGGCAGAGCGAAGTCGCACTTTGCTGCAGCAAGCGTCTGCCACGCAGGAGCCTGCAGGCTGCGAGCGCGGGCGAGGAGCACCCTCTGCCGATCCTACCCGTTTAGGGAAAAAAAAAAAAAAAAAAGAAAAAAAAAGAAAAAAAAAAAAGAAAAAAAAAGAAACGCTTTGCTGCTCGGTTTTGCTCCTTGGAGCTCAGCCTATTTTAGTTAGGGGGTTGGAGATAATAGGCAGGATCTGAATGATTTGGGGGTGATTTTAAAAGGCAGGTGAGAAATAAAGCACGGAAAATCCAGGGGGGTGCCCAAGACCTTGCCCAGAAAGATTATTTCTGCTTCATCCCCCTGTATTTCAGCCTTTTCTCTTTTCTTTTCTTCTTTTCTTTCTTTTCTTTTCTTTTCTTTTCTTTTCTTTCTTTCTTTTCTTTTCTTTTCTTTTCTTTTCTTTTCTTTTCTTTTCTTTCTTTTCTTTTCTTTTCTTTTCTTTTCTTTTCTCTTTTCTTTTCTTTTCTTTTTTTTCTTTTCTTAACCACGTGATATGACTGCAGTACATGTTGGGCTCAGCTGGGTCTTAGAAGTGGGGGAAATATCCCAAAATGAATCTCTCCGGGCAGTCCATGGTTGAGCAGGTATCGGTGATGCCTGCTGGGGTTGATGGTTCCTCCAGAGAGATTTTGGATACCGTGGCTGGCCCTACCTATGCTGTGCTCAATAAACAGGCAATAATGTGTCTGCCACTGCCAGGTCTCTGCCCAAACCCTCATCTCCAGTCACACCTCTCCTTCTCCACCAGAACGAGCATCTGTTGTCATTGTGACCCCTTTATCATGAAGAATACACCCAGTGCTAAAATAAGAACAAATTCATCAAGTGGCCAAGAAATCGCACACCTTCACTGCTTCTTCTCCCCAGCCCCAACCCCTCCAGCCAGCATAAGGCTGCTGTCACCAGCCTGCCTCCAGGTCATGGTTAACCTCCTCTGAGAAGCACCAGGGATGTGCAAAAGGGGAGGACTTAGAGGGACAAATCTCATCTCCGTGTGCTGTCATCATTCACAGCAACCCCAGCAGGCTCCCAGCGGCTTTATTCGGGGCAACCTGAGATGTCCCTACTGTGTGGAGAAGGTCCCTGTGGTCTTCATGGTGCTGTTTTCCCCTCTTGAGGAGCCACAGGAGATTTCTGACCGGCTGTGGGGTTATTTAAGTGCCAGCTGGACCTGGTTATCCACAGCACCTGTCCGAGCCTCCACTTCTGCTGTTGTGCTTGGCCACTCGTTGGCTTTCTTTTTGTTGTTGTTTGCAGAAATAAAATGCATCACTGGAGACTTTGCGGACCCCTAGGAGCTCTGCTTTGGGATGGTTCCATCCCTTAGCTCATTCATTCTCACAATTGCATAAACCATGACTGGGGTTATTGTGCGTTGGGGTACGTAGGAGGCGTTGCAGGGTGGGAGAGATCCAAGCCCTCGTGAACCAGGGCTTGCCAGGAACGTTCTCTGTCTTTTCCTGGGAGCAGGGTACTATGTGTAACTGGGGATCTTGTGTCGTGGCCCGTGACGTTAAATATAATTTCTGATTTTGAGTACTCTTGGCTATTCATTTGGTTTCCTTCTGTTGGTTGAGGAGAGAAGAAGGCAAACACAGCGCACAGCCAGTGACCTGCCCACCTCTCTTCTTGGTTAAATTCCTCCTTCTTTGTTCCTCCAGTTGTTTCATCCTGCAGAGCCACTGGCTGCATGCCTCCTCCCATGGGAGATGCTCTTTGGAGGTGCCTGGTGGACAGCAAGGCACCTGGGCATCTGCTTAGAGTAAAATTGAACAGAAGTTTACCCTGCTTAAAAGCAGATTAATGGGTATAGCATCACTGAAAGTGGAGTTTGGGGTCAGGGTGGGATAGAAATACAATAGCAGCTCTGCAATATCTGCAAACACCCATGCTTATCACAGCCTGGCTCCTTCTAATTCCCCACTTAAGCACTTCTGGCTCCCTCCAGCCCTACAGACAAGGGGGGCTGAGGGAGGGATTTATTTTCACACCAGCTTCCTGCTTTTTTGCATTTGGAGCAAAACAGTCCAGGTGACACCCAAAAACCCCCAGCCACGTCTCGAGGGATGAATTAAAACCTCCTCGTTAGACCAGCGCTGAACTCCTGTGCTGATACAGTCACTCAGAAGCCCTAATTCCAATTAGCTTAATTCCCCTCCAAAATGAATTAAAAATCCAAAACAAATACCAAACGAAGGCCACTTTAATTCCAGCTAAGAGCATCTACTGGGGATGTTAATGCGGTTTAACTAATCCAGTTTAAAATTAAGTATGCCTGAGATCCTCACCGCTACGTGGTCTCTTACCAGAGCTGCAGTTCTGCGCGTGCAGTCCCCTAACGTGGCTGAGGATGGCACGTGGGGCAGATCTCAGCACTCCTCGGCAGGAGCTGGGGGATTTGGGGCAGGGTTTCACCCATGTCTTGGACCCACGTTTGTGTAGACAGGGTAAGGGGAGGGTTTGCTACCGAGAAGTCACTGGGAGCACTGAACAACTGCAGCTATCAAAGCATTTATCCATGGGGAAGGGTAAAGCAGACCCCATCCTTCAAATCCAAATTAAAGTTTGAGTAGGGAAGGCCGTGATAACCACAGATCTGGGATGGAGAAGGCTTTCTGCCCTGCATCCAAGCCTCCCAAACCCACCACTAAAAGCCAACAGCAGCTCTTTGCCTTGGGGCCACGGGTCATAGGCATTAGCTTGGCACCCAGCAGACAGCAACGGGATCAGGAACTGGTCTCGCCCTACTAAGAAAACTCCGTGCCAAGATTTCATCTCCCTTAGATGTTTGCACACAAAGCAGCTTGGCTGCACCCTCGAGTCCTTTGGCAATAATTAAAAGCTCAACTCACCCAGAAAGCCCGGGGCAGCAGGCACCATCCGGCGGGTGCAGAAGTGGCAGGAGCCAGGAGGAGGAGGAGAGTGACACCCCTCTGCACCTCAACCCCAGCCCCACAGCCCCCAGGCAGACGAGTTGAGCATTTTTGGGGCTAGAACGGACAAAATGTGGGCCGTGTGGCGTCAGGTATTAACTTCCCTGGAGGAGAGGGAGCAGCTTGTTGTGTGTGACCTCTGGCAGGAGGAGGAAGGAGTGAACAAACAGAGGGACAAACCAAGTGGGAGGACTGAGTTACTGCGTTAAAGAGTTTCCAGAAGGGTGGTTTGGCGTTCAGGGGACTGACCTATGGCTTAAGGGACATTGCCCAGGTCTCTTCTCTGCGACAGGTTTCCTTTCTGATCTTGTTCAAGCTCCTTGGTTTCTCAGTAAGCTCTGGCCCAAACCAGGAGCAGACACTGTGACAAGGACGGGGACCTTCCCTCCCCTCCAGTTTACAAAGCTGGAAGAAGTAATTAAATCACCAAAGCCACTCATGCATGGGCAGTGCTGCTGCAGATACATCGACCAGATCCATCAACCCTTGAGCAACCAGGCTCCTACCCTCTTATTGCTCATGGCTTAAAGCCAGGAGCTGGATACATGGATTAGGTTCAAGCCCCATAAATCACAAGTGATTCTAAAGGCCCAAAGCTATGGTTGGTGGGGTTACAGATTTAGTGGCATTGAGGCCACTAGGGATGCAAAGATTCACGTATCAGAAGCAGATGTGCTATCCAGGAGCATTGCTAAAACAACTGGCATTGCTTTTAGCTTTGTTTGGGGCCATAAATAGCCTAAAAAAAAGTAAAATAAATAATAATAATAATGTGGTAATGCAGAGAAATATGAAAAATCTGGCAGCTGAAAATAGGTATGCACTACCACTGATAAAATACATCACAGGGTGATCTCAGTGGAAAGCATCAAGAGGAAACATGAGCACCCAGAAATAGAGCTGGGAAGGAACTGCTTGGTTACGTGTAGCCAAAGCAATTCCTCCTGTAAGCTTCACTTGGCTGCTGGTTTGAAAAACGGTTTTGAAAGCTACAGTGCTGTCACCCCCATAAATTGGAGCATGGCTGCAATCCCAGGACAGAGCCTCCGTTCTCTTCTCTGGAGCGGAGGAGCGGAGAGGGCGAGGAGGAGGAGAGAGGAGAGGAAGAGGAAGAGGAGCAGGGAAGGCGAGGAGAAGGGAGAGGGAGAGAGGAGGAGAGGGCGGAGAGGAAGGAGGGAGCGGATAGAGAGGGGGAGAGGAGAGGAGGGAAGTAGGCGAGAGGAGGAGAGGAGAGGAGAGGAGAGGAGAGCGAGGCGGCGAGCGAGGGAGGGAGCGGATCAGAGAGGAGAGTCGGAGCTGGCGAGGCGAGAGCGGCGTCGGAGAGCTCGTTAGCTGGCTCTGAGCGTCTCGGCGAGTCTATATTGATCTGCTATGGTCTTCTTATCGTCGCTCTTAGTGCTTCTTTCTCTGCTCTTTCTTATCCTTTCTCTTCTCTTCTCTCTCTTTCGTCCTTCTCTTCTCTTCTCTTCTCTTCTCTTCTCTTCTCTTTTCTCTTCTCTCACATGGGGACGAAAGGCAAGAAGCCAACAATGAGGGAAACGAGCTGAAATCACTCAAAAAATGAGCACATCATGACAGGGGCTCATCACCACAGCCCCCCTCTGCCCACCTCTACACCCAGGCACCGTTGTTTGCTCACTCCCCTCATTAGCAGCAGGCACAGACGGACAGTCAACAGTGCTCTAGGACAGGTGGGAAATTGGCCGTGATGTGACAAGGTTAAAAACAGACCCTCGTGACTCCCACCCATTCTCTTCCATGAAAGTGCACGCATCATTAGCTGCAACCTGCCTACAGATGGGAGCGGGGCACTCGAAGGGTTGGCGGGGAGAAGCACACCGAGCACATTTCTTTTCCTTCTTGGAAAATGGACAGGAGGAGGTTTTAAAGAAAAGAGGTTCCCAACAGCATTGAGGCCAGCTGAAAGCAGCATGGGCTTTGGGCACCCAGATCAGGTAGGAGGTGTAGATCATCAAGTTGGGCTAGGTGATCATTGAAGGCCCCTTCCAACCCCAATCTATTAGTCTGTGGTTAAAGAACTGTGCCACTGGAACAGTCATTTTGGGCCACAGGGTGGGGGAAAATACGAAAACAGGCAACAAAATACATCGTAGGGAAAAAAAAATTGGAGTTTTTCAGTTGACCTTTCCCTGGCACAGTGGGTGCCAGGGCCCCCCCAAGAGCCCCGCTGCCAGCTCTCCATAGCCAATGCTCCATCCCCAAGGTGATGGCACTAACCCATGGCCCATCCCTGTGCCCAGCTGGTGAAGACGGCGGAACTGGACCCCAGGCAGAACTACCTGATGGGATTCCACCCCCACGGGGTGCTGGCCGTGGGAGCCTTTCTCAATTTCTGCACGGAGGCATCGGGGTTTTCCACGCTCTTCCCAGGCATCACCCCACACCTGATGATGCTCTCCTTGTGGTTTCGTGTCCCCTTCTTCAGGGACTACCTGATGGCTGGAGGTAAGCACAACAGCAGAAGGATAAGTGGGTGAATTGGGTGATTTTGGGGGAAAGAAGGGTGAAAGCACCAAGAAGGCTTGAGATGATCAAGGGGAGTGTTTGTCTCCATCTGTGGCCAACCTGATCCCATCCATGGACATGGGCGCTGGAGGTGGCACCCAAAGCCTCTCTGAAGTTAAATAGCTAGTTTTCTGCTTACCAAACAGAAAACTATGTTTTATGTTTTTTATGTTTTCTGTTTAACCAAAACAACATTGTTTTGCTGGTTCTGAATTACAGATTTCTAATTTTTGTAAGCACATAACATCAGGGGGGGCAAAACTGCACCAAATGTCACTTTTAAATAGCAACAGGCACTGAAATTCCTGTGTTTTAAGCCAACATTTCACTGACTCTGGAAGGATTCAGGGTGGGACATGGTTTAATCTGACAACAAGCTGAAACAGATTTTCCCTGCAGCTAGTTTTCAGTTTACTTTTTTTTCCTATGTTTTTTTCCCTGTTTCTCACTTGTAGGCCAGACAGCAAAGGGATAATCACGTATTAACAGGGCAGAGCCATGCATGAATCCAGCAGCGCTCTGGGAAGTAGGGCTGAGATTTACTGGAGCGTAGGAAAACTGTGCAAATAAATACTGAGCACCTCTCCGGAGCTGGATAATGGGGAAAAATGGGAGGAAAACACGGTTAGCCAGGCTGTTATTTTTTTCTTCCTTTCTACCTCCCAGGCCTTGTGTCCTCCGACAAGGAGAGTGCATCCCACGTGCTGCAGAGGCCAGGTGGGGGGAACCTGCTGACCATCATCGTTGGCGGGGCTCAGGAGGCTCTGGATGCCCGCCCGGGATCCTACACCTTGCTGCTGAAGAACAGGAAGGGATTTGTCCGTGTGGCCATCGAGAACGGGTGATGCAAGGGATGGGGTCAAGGGGGTGCTTGGGGAGGGATGCTCTGGGCTGTGGGTGGTCACTGGGATGTTCCTGGTGAGTTGAGAGGGTGGTGAAGGATTTGGGGGATGGGTTTTGTTAATCTTCATGGCCACATGTTGGGTTTGTCTCCCCACAGCACCCCGCTGGTCCCCACCTTTTCATTCGGGGAGAACGACCTCTTTGAGCAAGTGAGCAACCCTAAGGGCTCCTGGCTGCGGCGGCTCCAGCACCGGCTCCAGCAGGTGATGGGTGTCTCCCTTCCCCTCTTCCATGCAAGAGGCATCTTCCAGTACAGCTTCGGGCTAATGCCCTACCGCCGGCCCATCTATACTGTTGGTAAGTCCCTCCCCAGCTCAAGGTTGGCCAAAGAAGGGATCAGGGATTTATTTTGGGCTGGGACACCATGCCAGAGAGCACAAGATGCCATGGGCTAGCAATTTGTTGAGCATCTCCAACTGCTCACCCATCTTGGTTTTCCAGACTAGACAGAGCTTTTTTTAAAAAAGCACCTGGGTCTGGGACAAGGTTTCCCTAAGATAGCAAAATTCCCCAGCAAAAGATGCAAAGAAAATCTTAAAAATGTAATTGGGGGAAGAGTGCCTGAGCCTGTGGGCAGCTCTGGAGGCTGTGATATGATGAGTTCAGCTGAACGTGGTGTTGGAGCATCTTCTGAGCAAATGAGATAGCCCAGAGAAAGAATAACACGTGGGTCCCTACATACATGTACACTGCTCCGGGACCCAGGCTTGGTCTTGCTGCACAACCTAGCCCATCTGAACTGCAACGAGAAAGTCTCAGAGCAAACATTTTGCCAACCCCAGCCCCAGCACACCTCCTGGGTGTGAACCCCGGTGGTAGAGTTGGGTTGAACTTCCTCCAAGCCGATTCCAGAAGCACAAGTAGGACAACACCAACGTGGTTTGCAGGTTTGCTCAGCACCGAGTGCAGGTGCAGCCACAAACCCCAACCTACCCCCAAAAACAAACCCCATGAACAAGCAGGGCTAGTTTGACCAGAGACCATACTAAACCTCAAGAAAATTGTTGGTTTTGGTGAAATTCCACCTGCTTTCAACAACTCCACGCTTGGATCCTCAACGCTGTTGATGGTCTGCAAATCAGCCTAATTACAGAGGCTGTTTGGAGAGGCCAGAGCTCACCCCACTGATCAGGTTTGACAGCCAGCAATTACTCCTAATTGTTTTACAACCCGGTTGGATTGTCTCAATGGTTTTACAGCAGTATCACAAAGGATCTTCATTAGGCTGATGAGGAGCACTCTTACCCGATGATGACGGAGCCCTCTGCCGCTTGGCAAACACAATTAGGGGAAGAGCACAGAGCAAGAGAGGTAGCTCAGGGCCTTCCCTGTCCCCTGCTGCTGGTGGCTGTGGGAGATGGGAAGGGTTTTTTCCAGTGCTGGCGATCAAATTATTTAGTTTAGCCCTGGAAAAAAAGTAATTGAGATGTCCACCTCCCACCCCCTTGGCTGTGCTGTCTCCCAGAGGAGACACGACCAGTCCTGTTGATCTGCCCACCGTGTCCTTGGAAAAGTGGCACCCACCTCTGGGATAAGGCATGCTAAGCATCCAGAGGGACCTGACCGAATCTTTGTGCTCCCTTTCCAGTTGGGAAACCGATCCCAGTGCAGAAGAAGTACAAGCCCTCCGAGGAAGAAGTTGATCGAGTCCATCAGAAATACCTGGAAGAGCTGTGCAAGCTCTTCGAGGAGCATAAAGCTAAATACAACGTCCCAGAAGACAGTCACCTCGAATTTATATAGAGCTCCTCTGGAGTCGTGGAGGCCAGGCTCCAAGTTTTCCCCTGTCTCTGGGACTACCTCACATCCTCCCTTTAGTCACAGGTAACACATGGGCCATGCAGCGTGGGGAGAAGGACTTGATTTTCCCAGCATTTGTGTGGGTCAGAAGCAGAGGTTTCATTTCTTCTCCCTGAAGGACACACAGAAGATAACAAGAGAACAAAATCCCATCACTGTTGAACCAGCACTACTGAAACCAGCACTATTGAAACCCCCCAGCAGAAAAGTCACGCTTCCAGCCTGGCTTGCAGGCCAGTTTTTGAAGATATTTCCCGGCAGAAATAAATTATTGCTTCCTTTGTGTTTAGTTCAAGTTTCATTTTCACAGCCTAGCTGAGAAAAACATCGTGCTGGAAAAAGTCCGTTCCTCAAAGATATTTAAAAGGATACAAAGAGCTTTATTATAAAATAAAACTTTTTTTTTTTCAGTTTTCTGACTTAAGGGAAAATTTTCAGCATTGCTTCAAATAACAGATGGGAATCTCTCTGAATGCCTTGCTCAGGGAGAGGCTGCAAAAATGAGAAGATGAGCCGTAATTTCTGCTTACTTTATTTTATTTTATTTTATTTTATTTTATTTTATTTTATTTTATTTTATTATTTTATTTTATTTTATTTTATTTTATTTTATTTTATTTTATTTTATTTTTTAATATTGTTTGTTTTGATGAACAAACGATTGCTCTCTGCCTGGTGCTCTTGTGTCCAACTGCTCTGGGCTCTTTAGTCCCTTCCTGCACCACAGTTCACCAAAAACTCATGCTCCCAGCACCGTGCTGGGCACTCTCTGCAGCAAAATGAGGCCGTCCCCTATGACACAAAAGAAATAAAACCTTTATAAAGGGCAAATCTCTTCCAGTGGGTTCGCACTGCTTGCAGTTGTGGGTCCTGGCTCCGGGAATCCTGCTATAATGTAATTAATTTAATCCCAGACACCTCACTATGGGAATGGCTCGGACACCACGGGAGCATGTTGTCCCATCGCCGAGCTTGTTGTGGCACAAACTGGGCCATTTCCTAAGGAGAGAGCACGGCCAGGAGATGGGAGAAGTGATTTGGGACAGGAAACGTGGCTCATAAAGCCCCGTTTGGCAGGTGATCAGGGCTTTAAATAGCCACTGCTTCTTGATATCCAGAACTTCCTTAAACTCTGCACTTAATGGGATTTTGCAGCGTGGAAGTTTGAGGTGGCAGGAAGCCATCTGCTCGGATCAGCTTGACATTACCCTATACCTTACACCATTGCCTTCTTCCCTTTCTTCCCTCATCTCCCTCTCTTCTCCCTGCCTTCAGGGGGCCAGAGCACATGCACTGCACCCAGGGCTTTCGGTACTGCAGCTGCAAAAATTACACATAACAAAGAAAAGAAACCTCTAAACTGGTGATATTATTATGTCTAAGGCCATATCTCTCTGTGTGGGGTTTATTCTTTTCCCTTTCCTCCCAGCTCAGCACTGATAAAGTCACTCCACGGGATTCTTTGTCTGAATGTCTGGCTGCAAATCCGCCCTATTCCCAGAAAACAAGCAGTAACAGGGAAAAATTGGATGGAGCCCTTACTGACATCTCAAACCACTCCTTTAATCCCATTATAATCCTGTCAAATAAAGCAGGTCACCTGCTATTTTATATATCTTGCTTGTTTGCTATTTAAAGACTTATTTTTTTTTTTGTCCTTAATGAAAGGCAGAGGTGCCAAAACAGATTTATGCACCAGGAAAAGAGAAGCAATTATCTCCCACCCTTTTCTTTTGCTGCTCATCACCACCCAAGCTTTATGCTAACTCCAGCTTTTTTTTTTTTTTTTTTTCCTATGTTTTCCTCTGCTTTTCTTGCTCCTGGTCGTGCCAGGATCCCAGCAGATCCCAACAACACTGCTGTGACCTTCTGGGCTCCCAAGGGATCCCTGGTGGGGATCGGTGCTGGAGGGGAGTGATGGGGATGTCCCCGAGGACACCGTGGGGTGCATGGGGACGTGAGAGGTCCCCAGGGGTGAGGACAAGGAGCTGAAACCTTGATGAGATGAGAAAAGAAGCAAAGTGCTGCTGCTGGGGTGGAAATCACCTGTACCTGGGGGAAAGGATTTGGGTTGGATGTGGTGATATTGAGGAGATGGAGGGACAGGGGAGGAAGCAGGGCGTGAGGTCCGGTACCTGGCATGGGCAAGGCATTGGTACAAAAACGAAGGATTGGATCTGCAGGATTGATGTGCCCCTGCCCCAGCCTGATGGGGAAGCAACAAAAAGGATGTGATCCGCAGTGGAGATCTTGGGCTTCCCTTTGTGGAGCCAAGGTGGTGGTGCTGGAGAGGCACCTACATGGGGTGGTCCTGGCGTGGGATGCTCCTGGGCTGGGATGCCATCCTGGGAGATAGAAAAGACAGAAAACAGGTGATCAGGAAAAAAAATCCCAGGGAGGAACAGGGAACAGGACACAGGGGCTGTCTGCAGGCTGGCGGGGCGGCTGGGGACATGCGAGACCCCACGGAGAGGACCACGGTGCTGGAGGAGCAGGGTGAGAGAAGGGCATTGGCTATATATATATCGTTGGCTTCGTCTGAGGTCAGTTTTATCTCGTAGGCTGGAACGTGTCCTTGATTCCTCAGGGACCTATATAACCCAGAAGAGGTCAGTGCCTGGGCTTGTGTTAAATATAACATTAGGGATAATAATTCATAGCTGCTCCGGGGGGGGCTCAGAGCAATGCAAACTCTCGTCTTCTCGAGGGACCAGAGCTGCCTGTGAGTGAAATGCCGTAAGATGAGAAGTTTTTGGCCTTTTTGGCACCACACAGAGCTGCTTGGAGGGTTAAAACCCCTCCGATGCAACCCAAGAGAAGACAAACATGAAGAAACGGGAAGGGTCTGGGTCAGCCAGACCCCTCCCAGGCTGTTTCTGTGTTTGGGTTTGGACTCTGCAGCTTAGGACGTGCTCAGTTTGAGGAACAAGCCACTGATCATCCAAGCTCTCACCCCCAAATAAGAATTATTTGAAGCTAAAACCATGCAACATGTTTCCTTCCAGCATTTCCATGCACTATTCCTGCTGTTGGTTTTGGTCTGAGACATGAGCCCAAAGAGAAATGATAAATTCAGCACCCCTCATGCAGGATGGACAAGGTTGGACTAATAAATTTCAGCCTTTTGGGGTTCAACAGAAACTCCAAATGGGAAAATAAGCTAAAAAATAAGAGTAAAAATAATACTTATCAGGTATTCCTCACCTGCCTGTCTCTTCCTCCACCCAGTTCCCTTATCATCTCCCCAGGATTTTGGTTCCCGGAGGCTCTAATCTGGCTTTGCCTTACTTAGCGGGTTCAGATCATGAGGCTCAGAAGAAAACCTCTGACAACCGACGAATACAAAACACGGGCTAATTCCCCGGGAGAAGGAAAGCCAAGCAAAACACGCTTTGCCCTTCTGCAGCTCTTCTGCTCGACCCGCAAACTGCTCTGCTGCCCTGGGAGTGGGGTTAAAAGGTTGCCTGGTGTTGCAGCAAACGAGAGCAACTTTTGGTTTTCTGCTTGCTGAAGGATTTCCTGCTTTTAATTCAATAAAGTCCCCCGAGCGTGGTATGTTAAACATCCTTCCCTCCCACTGCTTAGCCTGCGCTAAGACGAGAAATCAAATTGCAAAAGCATTTGAAACCCATCACTTTGCTTTCAAAATCAATTACAGCATTTCAAAAACAAAAAAAAAATAAAAAAAAAATAAAGCAACCAGAAATACAGTTCTCCCTAAGGATTTTGGACACTTTGACCTTTTTTTTCCTTTCTTTTTTTCTTTTTTTTTTTCTTTTTTTTTTTTTTCTTTTCTTTTTTTCCCCCTTTTTATCTATTAGTTCTTTCTGATTTGAACCCATGGAGCTGCTTTTCCGCCTCTCCCATCCCCTGAACCCACCTCCTGACCCAGCCTTTTGGTACATCACTTTGGCAGACCACCCCGTTCAGGTTATAAAAAATCACGAGCACAGAAATAACCTGCGGTGACCAACGTGAATACATCTGATTCATTTTTCAGTTCCGTGCCTACTGCTGCCCACATCCCCAGCTGGCACGGAATGGCTCGGAGGCACTAAGCCACCTAATTCTGTGCTAGCCACCTGCTAAACCACCACATCTCTGGGGCACGGGGTGGGGGGCTCACGTGCTTTGGGCAGCACGAGACCTTCAAAAGGAAGCGTGTGTTTGCCAGCAGGGGAAAAGTCTGTAAAATCAGGTTGTCACTGGCCAGTTCTTTGGGCGTGTGGCACAAAGTAATGCTTGTGAGCTAATTGGATTCATGGTTTGTTAGCCTGGGTGAGGCTGGTACTGCTGAGAAAAAGCAGCCTGAACGTATTTTTGATGAGCAGCTCATGTTCTGTGTGAGCTCGAGTTACATAGGGAAAGCACGGGGGAAATTATTTGAAATTACTTGGATTTATGAAATGGTTGCAGGCGATGCATCTGCAGAAAAGTGTGCATGGGCAGAAAAAAAAAACAACGCATGCAGAGAAATAAATGCATGCACAGAAAAAAAAATGCATGCACAGAAACAAAATCATGCACAGAAACAAAATACATGCACAATTAATAAAATGCACAGAAGCAAATGCATGTACAGAAACAAAATCATGCACAGAAACAAAATACATGCACAGAAATAAAATCATGCACAGAAAAAAAAAGGAAGGAACAGAAAAAATCATGCCTGATTTTTGGGGAACAGAGTGTTCTGGGTTACTGTTTTGATCACCTACAGTTCAAGAGGAACACATGCAAGCAAGCAGGGCTTTTATCTTCACCACCGTCGAGGTATTTGCGAGAACAGAGCGTGGCAGCTGATGGCAAACAAACGGTTCATGGCCAAGGGTGCATGTGGGTGCCGGAGGAATTCACCTCCACATCACGGAGTACTTTGAGCTCTGCCAAGAGCACGTAAACACAGCTATAGGATCCTTCCACGGAGGAGACACCGCGAGGTCGGGATTCTCAGAAGTGTTTACAAGGCGCTTAGCCTCTGCCTCCTGGAGCGGAGATCCTTTAAGCGGGATCTCCTGGTGACACCGAGCCCCTCGTTTTATTCGACAGCAACCCCAAATCTTCCCCCGGTGTCTCTCTCACGTGCTCTCGAGTCACTCCGTGTCCCTGAGGTGGAATAATGAGCTGGGTTAAGGCTTTTTCCATGCTGGTATTTTCTATCAGGCCAGTGATATCACCTCCAAATCCCACCGAGCTCCTTGTTTCCAGGAACAGACGAGGACTTTACACGTAAATAGGGGCCCTAATCCTCAGAGGGGGGAGCAGGAGGTCCTGAAACCCTTCTGCTGGTGCCAGGCCGCTGTGAAGCTGTACCCAGGAGCATTCCAGCACCAGAGAGCAATAAGCAGGCCCCCGTGGCCCAAATCCCTGGCATCTCCACCCAGCTGACCCCCTGTAGGTCACGGGAAGTCTGCGGCAA